CCGCCCGCAAGGCGCATGCGCCGTGCGGCCGCGCCGCGCCGCGCCTCAGGGGGGGCTGTTCGCTCAGGCGACTGGTCGGTAGGTGATTTTTGTTTTAACATGATTAAAAAGCGTCCTTTGTCTTCGCAGGAAACAGAGCCCCTTTTAAAGGCAAAACCGCAGTCTGCAGGCTGAAAAGGGCAACGTCGGACTTACGCCAGTAGAAGACTGGCATCGTTGCATCTAGTGCAATAGCAACGCGTCGATAGTGTGAAACGTTTTCTGCCAATTAATTGTAGCAAAACTGAGCCGTCGGGACTAATTGCAGAGGAAGCAGGAACTTAAAAGGAAGCATGGAGTTTCTGGTGAGCAGGAGTCCTGGGAAGATGGGCTGTTTTTGACTTCCTCACTTGGGAACAGATTGCAGAATTAAAATGAAAACCAGATTATGCCGGATCACATGTCATTTTGCTTCCAACTCCCCCGTACTATACTTGCCCTTTGCTTGCTTAAATACACTTACAATACAAATAACTAGACAAACTGAAGGTGTCCCGAGTGCCCTCAAAGCAGTTGAAGAAACACTAATCAAGAGATTTCCTGTCACTGCGCTTCCATAGAGGCAGATACTGCTGCAGCTTTAATTCTCCTAATGAAAAAAAGCCTGTGTCTCTACTGCAAGGAATACATGAAACTACATAATGCATCTCAGGTTAAAACCTCTGCTCAAATGAATGTGGCAGTTCGACGATTTGATTAGCTTGGTCATTTTTCTCCTCTTTGACAGAAAGTGAGGCCAAATTACGTGATGGGGTGGTTGTCCTGCGCCGAACCAATGCAATCAGGCACAAGGCTGCTTGGCCAGGCTCCCCAGTAACTGCCATCCCATGATTTGTTTCCCTTTTTATCCCCTCTTCCTCATCCCAAATTTTTCCTTCGTTACCACCCTCATCCCTTTCCCAAAAGACTCCACTCCTGTTTGCTTTTTCCTCATTAGCACTGGTCTTGCTGACTTCACATCCTATTGGGTATTTGTGGTAAATTTGCCTTGAAAATTTATCAGTTCCGTCAAGCTAATACCTCCTTTTTGTCTTGTTAGTTGTACCCTAGGTCAAGGTGGGCCATCTGCATATTACAGAACTCCTGTTTTTCATATGTAGTATCCTGTAATTCGCTTTGTTGTCTCATCAGTGGCACAAGGCAGGATGGGCTGTCTGCATGCACACCTTAACACAGTCTATACAGAAGTAAGTGATTGAATCCAAGTGACAGTATCAATAGCAGGTTCATCATGCCTGCGAGGATCCTGGGGAGAGCTGCTCGCTGAACAAACGTGATGGGCTATAAGAGTATGCGCCGGCCACTTTGGGCCTCACGTTGTGAAACTCCGCTGCTTAACAAGCTGCTTTCTCAGCTTGGTGGCAGTGGCCACTGCTCAGCAGGCAAAAGATGTAGAATAACAAAAAGGCAGGGTTGAAGCATCCCAGATGAGAAGAACCCCAGGAATTTTGTGTGCAATGTGCTGAGTTACCGTAATTGCTTCTTGTTGCCAAAATAAAGCCTGATTGAGAGACTTCTTTCAGAACACTAGTGACATTTATTGTGTGGACCAGCAAAAAACAGGACCAAACTTCCTAGGCCTCACTAGGCTGCTCAGCTATATCTGTACTGACTCCATGAAGGGCACCGGAGAGCAAGTCCTGATGCCTGGGCAGCTGCTGCAGACCAGCACATATCCTTGCAGCTTGAGGCCAGCACCCTCCATCTCTGCTGCAGTGCAACTGGAGCAAAAACTGGCACAGATGGCTGCGATTTCATTACCTCTACAGATCAGACTGTAGAGCTAACTGTATTCTCAGCCATGCCCAAATTTCCACACGAAGAGAATATTCAGCTCGCTTTAGATTAATAGGAGCAAATAGTGTGGATAAGGTGGAACAAAATCCTGGACTGATGGTGGGAGCATGCCAAGTGACCAAAAGTACCAAGGAGGAGTTGCAAGTATGATGCAGGTAG